TCCAGTGCAGAACGTGCCTATAAAAGTATAACCTTAAGAAATAAGATTAAAAATAATAATTTTTGTAACCACACATATGTGTATAATAATGGAGATTTAAAATTAAATCAACTTGTACTCAATAAATTTCAGAACAAATTTTTATAAATGCTTACACAGTTGAAAAGTTACTATGCAATTTAAAAATTAAGATTCAAAAAATTTATTTCAGTGGTAAATTATATGTGTATCGGTCTATCATGATCTTAGAGACCTAAAATTGAACCAACTTATCCTTTCTGCAATTAACAGAAATAGAATAACTAATTGAAATAGGGGTAGATATTTTACTGATAAATTCAGTACAAATAAATGTAAAAAAAATTGTTTCTTAGTGGTACACTAAACGTTTCTTAACTGGTCATCATTGAATAAAATTTAACAAACTTATATTTGCAGACGTTTAAAAGAAATTTTTAATCATGTCAAAACAAGTGATAAGATAACTACAAAATATAAACTATTTATTCTTAGTACCTTTTTTTGTAACAAGCTACAATTTTTTTGTAGTTTTGAAAAATCAATTATTCTTAAAAACTTGTACGTTATTTATTCAGACATAGTATTAAAGAATTAAGTGACAGACACCTTGGCTTCAGAAAGATAAGAACAAATTAATTTTGATATTAAGACAGGTAAATATTTATTACCAAGTTATTAAAAAATTAAGAAGAACAAAAAAGTTCTTACTATACATCTTAATTCATTTATAACCTATTAATATACTTTTTATTTATGCTGATACTAACAGAAATTCGTTCTTAACGTTAGGGAATATAAATGTGTCTGATTATCAAATAGTATGGTCATATCTATCCAAGATACATACGATTTACCAACAAGAATCGAGCTTTTTTATATCTTTAGTATTTGCAACTTATTGAGAAATATTTTACTTAAGCTGACATTAGTAAGAAATTTGTGCTTAAGATTATTAAACATGAGTATGCCTAATTTCATGACTCTATGGCCATGCTAGGCTGAGTTACAATCAGTTTACCACTGAAAATGAATTTTGCTTGAACCTGTATTTATTTCGAGTTTGTTAATAAACTGTTTTTTACTGTTGACATCAATAAAATCTCTCTTTTAACGTTACTCAGGATAGGTATTTCTAACTGTATGCTTATATATATTTTTATTTTGATGGTAAATGAGCTATGACATTTATCAATAGGACGATTGTTTCCCTTTTTTGATTGTAATTTAATACTTCACTCTGTACGTGTCTTTGCATTCATCAAAATATATTCTGAAAAGTAGTAACCTATCTAATTGTATACCAGTAAAATAATGATCGACCTCGATACGCAGTTTTTCTCGGAATACTGACTTTTTTTAATCTTGAATCAAATTAAACCTGATGAAAAACTTTTCTCGTGTTGACATTAATAGAAGTTTAATTTAAACTTAAAAAATAACGAGACTTAAGTTTACTGGCTAACTAACCATGCTGGGTATTCGCTCTGAGCCGATGCAGAGGTTGCGCTCTTTCTAGTAAAAATCAGACAGAAATTATTGCATGTAAACAAATTGCTTAGAGTATACATACAGTCGTATAACTGTTTGTAATTGGTTGAAGAATCCAGCGGGGGGGGGGGTCGTCGTTCTCTCTCTAGCCTGGCACTGAACGTGCCAAGTGCCAATTATAAGCAGCTATACGCATTTATATTTGCTATAAGCCGTTTGTTCACATGCAAATATTTTTGCCTGATTTTGGCTAGAGAGATCCACACGTGTTAACAATAGAAGTGATTGATTTTAAATGTTATAGTAAAAGGGGAGGGGGTGAATCCAGATACTTTTGATAAGTGCCAATATTTGATTTAATGTTACGTTTTAAAGGAAAATAGTGTTTAAGCGTAAAAAAATTATTTTAATACAGGTAAACTGATTTTTTTCCCTTTAATTTAAAAACTTGATTTATTTACTTGTGTTTATATGTAATTATTCGGTGAAAAAAAAGATTTCAAATGAGGGTATAGTTAGACATATTCATCATGTTGGGGGAATCCTGATTAGAAATCAAAATAAAGATAGTTTAAAATAAACACTAAGTCAAATAATGATATCATTGTGATTTTTTTCTAGACAATATAGATTTAGCTTATCGTCAGGTGGATTAATGGTATTGTTAAAATTCGGAAGATGAGATGAATTATTTGATTTGGTCAATGGTATTAACTTACTTTTAATAGCTTGTTTTTTAATTAAATGAATCTCATTAATTACAAAGTCTTCATTACTAATTTTATTATTGACATTTTTTCTCTTGGTAAATAATTAGTTTCTCATTCAAAAACCTTTTACAAACTTTTCCCTTACTGCTCAAAATATTATATTTGACTTAACCAGGATCAAAGGGTCATAATAGAGGTCACGTGTTCTAAAACTATTTTTAATGGTTTCAGTAGTCTTTTTAGTTCAAAGCTAATTGCAAGACAGGTGCAAATATTGACTATTTGAAATCAGTGACATTTTTATTTATCTTCTACTGTCTCGAGATCTTTGTATGACTATCTTTCGAATTATAGAAAACAGCACCATTTAATGGTTGTAGTAAAACCGTTGAATTCAGATGCAAGCCTATCAATTCAATTTAATTCTCTCAGCAAAATTTGAACCATGGCAGTGACCTATGTAAACAATAATTGTCAGCATATATAATAACTGGAAATTTGATTACGTTTTATAATAACCATTTGTAAAATATTCTTAATGTAACTAAAAAAACATTTAGTTGTTATCCATCTTCCATGAAAACCACCTACTATTAATTTTTTTGATACCTCATGTAAAACATTTTTTTTTTAAAGTTTTTGAAGCCAAATACTATAATTAGTGGTAGCATTACTCCAGATGCGCTTACGGTAAATGAAGCAGTAGGATATTTTTTTGCGACTTACAGCATAATACAACGTTTTGGTATTTGTTTACATGTGGACCGTAATATCTTTAAAGACTCTCATAGAAGCTGATAGTCAGATTTTGTGAAATTCTGATAGTAACATTGAGATGCCTCCTCATACATTCTACATACTAAGTTTTTCCTAGCTTATTTTCTTTAAACTGTGCTTACCTTTCCATACTTGGAATGAATTTTTGGCTGTGATCCAGTAACTGATGTTTAGTTGTATGAAAACTGATATTATTACACCTAATAATTCAATTGACAATCTCTAATTTTTTTGTTCTGTAAAAATAGTTGGAGGACCTTTTTTGAAGCACATTAAAGAATTATTTTTTAGTATGTCATACAAAGTTGATTTTGGCAATCTAAAACTTTTGAAGACTTCTCTTATACTCAAAACACTTCTAGGGGTGCTTATAACTTTTACTATTACTTAAGCAGAGTTTTATTTTTCTGTTTTTCAAAGCAGATTTTGAAACCTGTTGACTTATACATTTTTTGTCTGTATTTTTTCCTTAAAACCCTTTCTCTATGGTTTTTGTTTCTCATTCTTAGTTTTTTCTTTAGCCATAGTGTCAACGATGTTTATTTAAAATATGCATGCAATAAATATTTCATGAAAATTAGAAGTTTTGTTGACATTATAGACTAAAGAGTAAACTTTCAAGTTGGATTTCAGTTTTAGACGTAAACACATTGCTTAGTATACTGAACTTAATTTAGATTTATAACTTTTTTACTTGTAGAAACAAATATATTTTCAAAACAATACATACAATCTCAAATAAAAAACAGTAATAGTCGGTTCGTTAGGACGTTTTTAGATTTATTGGGTATCCAATTAAACATGAAATTCTCAAAGACTGGAAGTGATAGTTGAAAAGTAATGCCTTTTCGTGTCTGATTACGACCTATTGGACATAAAGTTTGCAGGTAATTTTGGATACTAAAAAAATTAAGGTTAAGTAAATATATTTTCACCTTTTAATATAAATTTCAGTGTACTTTTTACCGGATTTACTCTCCATTACCTCATGGAGTAAACTCGTATGTGTCTAATTTTATTCCCTTATCGAAGGTTAAAATATAAACGATTTTTGACTGCATAGTACACTACTTACCTAAGAGGAAAAATACAGAATGATGTCTCAGATCGCAGATAGTTGACATGATAAACATGAATGAATGGATAAGCATGTGAGCTGAAGGATTCTTACGCGGTGTGGTTAAAAAAGTCATTTTTGCCGTCTTTCTTTGATTGTTACTTATTAATTACTTATTAATAATTTAACAATTAATAACTAACAACTTGTTGATAATTTATTAATAATTTTAAATAATTTATTAATTACTTATTAATTGATTATTATCTATTAATTATATTTTCACCTTTTTTGACTTGAACACAAATTTTTTCTTTACCTCATAAGTGTAAGTATTCCTTTTTACAAGATTTCTTTTCCATGCCAGAGCGAGATACAAATACTTTACCACTAAAAAATGAATACTTTCAATTTGGACTTGTTCGTAACTTTATTATTTGTACATTATTTGTGCTTGGAATGTAAACATTATGACTGGCTGCTTGGATGAAAATATTTACACATTGAACACTAAAACATGTAAAATGGTATATGCACCACGGGTAGAAATGACGAAGCCTCAGTTTGCTTACTTATCACTTTGGCCTCTCCTCAAGCAATAGTGTACGGCCAATCTGACTTTCTTTACTTAAGTACTCTAAGTAGTTGATGTCTTATTGTTTACCAATGATTTCTTATATATTTTGAACAAAACTTTTGTTTGCATTGTGGAAATTTTTTTTTTTTTCTATAGCCATAAAGCGCTTGCATATTATCTATTTATCTCCGATAAGTCTCTGATTTTTTGCATAGTGGTCCTAGACAAGAACTGAAAGTTTTCATTTTTAAAATAAAATAAAATCGAAAAATGAGAAGCATTAGCAAAAACTTAATTTTATAACATTTTTTCTTACAGAAATGTATAAAGTTACTTATAGTAATTAACTAAAAAAACTTTTTTTTTCCAGGCACATAAACCAATTTGGATTAATGCAAGGTGATTCAATGATTTGGTGGAAAGCTGGACTTGGAATTGCTCTAGTGACACTTGCTGGTTTTTTCGTTATGAAAGTTTTCCATGCTTCACAGAGATAGTATATAAATCTGCTTGATTGTTCTGTATCAGTTCATATTTACTGACTGTTTGTTGAAAATGTATATTTATAAACATATAAAGATATGTGTGTGTATATACAATATATTAAATAATTGAATTCACACATGCCTCTAATTTGTAAGATAATGTGAACTTCTTTAGAAGAGGAAAATAAGAAAATACATTCTACAAGAATCTAGATAAATTATTTCTCGAATACTACTTAATAAATCGTGAATACTTTAAATTTTTTTCATGTATGTATGGATATTTATGATACGGATGCAAGAATTGTAGGTGCGATTTGCATAACAAATGTTTATTATAGTTTCTGGAGAATGGGCGTTTCACGCACTGTTTTTCGTAAGAAATATAGAAATGGATACACTTAAAATAGTGCAAGAGATAACAACTTCCCTTATACCATAATTCCAAAAAAAATTTTCCTCAGATTTTACAGACATTTTTATAATCCTATGATATACTCGCACCCTTGGCGGTACCTTCGCTTCAGGTAAGAGTATCACTATTCATACGACAAACTGTTATTCCATACTTAGTACAAAAGTTACTAAATTTCGCACTATTTTAAAGGTGGAAATTCATTTTTTCACATAGTGTGCAGGTGCATAGTCGGCAAATTAGATATTTCACAAAAAAGGGTAGAAAATAATAGTTTACTAATACTAAAGTGACAAATGTACATCGTAGGTCCTTCATTCAATCGATTATTAAAATAAAATGAGAAAAACACCTTATCGTTAACAAAATAAAATAATTCGATCAAATTGATGCAAAACTTGAAGATATATTTATAATAATGTTTGCGCGATTCAGCTCAATTAAAAAAAACTTTAACTTTCAGGAGCAAAAATATTTTTTTGTACTTTAGGCGCTTTATATATTTAAAGTTTTACTGCGATCTCATTTGAAAAAAAGGCTTTGAATAGAAATGAGCATCCAGCCATGTTGATAACAAAAGTTTGGGTTAATAATAATAATAATAATANTGATGCCGATGATAATGATGATGAATATGATGATAATGATGTGGATAATATTAATAATACTAATAATGATAATGATCATAATAATAATCGCAAAGACGTCCTGAATGAAAGCAAGAAGACAACCTCTGCTAAGATACACTCACAGAAGGGCTTCATACCTGCCCAGCCATGGATAAGACCTGTCCATGGCTGAGCAGAAATATGAAGTCCTTCTGTGAGTGTTTTTTAGCAGAGGTTGTCTCCTTGCTTTTGTGACATTCCATATCATATACTTAATAATTATTACTTCGAAACACAGACTTTCGTTTTTAAATTATAAAAAGCAAAAGCTCAGCGGTCTCGAACCATCAGGCAGCATACCTACTTTTGCAACAGCGTGACATATAACTTACTTCTTTTGAAACAAACTACCGTCGCAAAACTCGAACTACGCGTGCAACCTCCAACAAAAGCGCTCAGCTTACCACATTAATTCGCAGTGGTACATTCATGAATGTAAATAATCAACAAATTCAACATTCTTTATTGCGTATATCCACAAGAAATATCATGCACAGTTTTGACAGCAACTTGTACTTAATGTGAAATCCGAGAAATCAGCAGTTTCAATCATCAATTACTGTGAAATTATTGCACAACAACTGTGCTCGTGTTAGTCGAGGGTAATTAGGTTAAGCTCTGATTGGTCGTTCAGATCCTCAACTTAACGCGTCCTCCTTAAACGCAAGAGTATAAAATCTCGCACATAACAATATTCGCCTTTTCTCTTTCATCAAGTGCTCTAAGGTAAATATAGAGATTGGAGAGTGAGTTCTGTTCCGTCTTTTAGGTGGATGTAAAACTTAGTTCGGTGATTAAGCTACTTGTTAGAAGTGTGCATTTCGAACAAATGTAAGACTTAGTTCGGTGACTAAGCTGTGTGAGAAAAGCTCGAGCAAACGAGACCACTTTAGATTTGCCTAAAAAGTGAATCAAGGAAAAACAAGAAAGAAAGGACCGTTGACTTAGGTTCTGACGTTAAAAATAGCAGCTTAATTATTGTCATCGCCACGAGTACTTTTGCATAGGATCAGGATCATTGTTGCGGTAAACCTTGTAAGATCTTGTGACTGCGTGCGTGCAAGCAGTGGCTAACGAACGATCATATAAGTCAGTTATGTAAAGTAAAACTACAAATTATGTAAACATTGTAAATGCGAATCTTAAACCTTATTATTCATACTTTTTGTAAAATCAACTATTTCCGGCTTTTTTTAATTTATGAAACTATTAGGTAAAACATAACTTGGTTGTTGATTAAATTACTTTCTCAATTCAAAAATATTCCAACATCTAAATTATATGAAAAATTTCAAGATTCCATACTCATTAGAACATTGAATGGATCGACACATAATTGTTACCTTGGTGAATAAATTGAATATCGAGAAAAAATAAAAAAAAAATAGACATCGTATGACAAAGATCTTTACAAGGATGTTTGAAAAAAAACGAATAAGATACGCTACTACTGTATGACACAAGACATAAACTCAAACAGTAGGTCAACGGCAGCTGGGCGTACACCACTCCATACACATCCCTCGGTGAAACCGAACACCACAACGCTGAGTTAACGATTTGAAAATAAAAGTATACAATAAGTAAAAGCAAATAAGGCCTTTTAGCTGACGGCTGGTTCCTGGCGGACTAAAATTAAATTTATTTGTTTGTAGAACGAATCTACAAGTTCTGCCCTTTACTTGTAGAAGTTCGGACGTCACAATTTCATTCTGGACGCCTTTGTGATGATTATTATGATTTTTATTATCATTATTGTTATCATCATTATTATTATCATCATTATCATTATTATCATCATTATCATTATTATCATCATCGTCATCATCATCATCATTATTATGATTTTTATTATCATTATTATGATGGTGATGATTATTATTATTATTATTATTAGTATTTTTATTGTTTTTATTATTATTACTATTACTGTTATTACTTGTTTTATTTGTATGGCTTTTTACCACGTATCTATTTTCAATTTACCTAATCGACACCTCGTAGTGTTTGTTTGTCCCAATATATATTCATTTTCCGTAAAAATATCGTGTTTATTAAGCAAATTATTTAGAGATAATACTTGGCTACTCACAGGTGTGTTTACATTTTCGATTATAGTATTATAATTTGGCTTCGCTCTTCTGAGAAATTTATAAATTTTCGACTGGGCAAAGTCCGTATTTTTTTATAGCATCCGATGCTTGTAAGCATGTATGATGGCATCATTGAACGAGTTGCTTTTGATTACAAAGAAAAACCTATTGCTTGAAACGTCAAAGATGTCGAGTAAAATCATGGTCGAACCTAACGTTTTAGTTGAACCCTAAAAAAATTTTATTCTTCTTACCTTACTTATGTTTTGACTTAGTTTAAGTTTCCTTGAGGTCTCATAATTCATATGTTAGATTTCGAATTTCATAATGCAGTAGCGGGTGACCCGCCAGAGGAACTTTCAATTTAATGAGAAGGGCAGCTATTCGTTTTTTGACTTGTTAGAAGATAATATACTTTCTTGAATTTTCACGTTATTTACCATTTTTATTGTTTGGTCTTTTATATCACTTTTATTTTTTAAATATTGCTGCGGCACAAGTTTTTGGAGTGATATTTGTTTGGGAAACCCCTTTCCTTGCCATGCGAACAGGGTTTTATATTTTGATTATTTAACGTATCATTTTTTACTTTTAATTTGTCAGTTGAAGGATTTTTACTCTTATTTTTGTTTACCACTAGAAGCTTTAACTGTTGAGTATATGACATAAAAGTGTTAATTGATTTATTTTAAATCACTTGTCGTAACGCGCAGCCTGACGTAGGTGGTGTTTGATCATTAAGTGCTGATGTTAGTGCACTTCTGATGTGCCAGATCAGGTTGGTATGAGCATGCAACACAAATAAATAAGAAAATGAATGTAATCATCGTAAACTTCAATTACAACTGGTATATTAACAATACCAAAAAAAATCTTAATTTTCTTAACAAGATTTATACTGAGTTTTTTAACAAAATAATGAAAATTATTAATAGTTTCTAAACTTGTGTAAATCAATAGTATTTAATGAGCTTGAAGTGAAAAATAACATTAGAGTAACAAAAAGTTAATTGTCGTTGAGTATTACTATTGAGTTTATACGCACTGAGTATATCTTTATACACTTGAGCAGATACAATAGTGAAAGCGTCTATGTGCACTTGATTGTCTCTCTGTGTGCTTGCGCCCACGCGCGTGCGTGTGTGTGTGTGTGTATGTGTAAATGTAGAGAATGTATCTGTGTGCGAGAGTTTGAACTTAGCACTGTTATGAAATGAGTTTCCACTGAATTTAAAACTGCATTAACCATACAACACTTGACTATACCACTGTAGCAGTGAAAGCACAAATAAAGTATAAATGGTTGCAGTGAGCCTTATCTACTGTATTCTGAGTCCTTTTGTGATTGATAGGTTATTATAACCCCAAAACATGTGAGATACGTAAGCAGATTTTTTCTATAAAACTTACTTCATAAGCACATCAAATTTGAACAGTACGTTATTAATAGTGATGTGATATAAATGAATTATAATTCAATATACTGAGTTTAACTTTTGCTAACAGTGCATAATGATTAACTAGCTTGAAATACTAACTAAAGTGGGTTTGAGCAGTAACTGTTTGAGAGTTGGTTGCCAACTAAAAATTATGAGTATACATAACGGTAGGTGATCGAAAAATGCGTGAACAGCAAGAACAGACCAATTACACACGCCAGCGTGTCAGAAAAGAGGCGCGTAACAAGAAAATATTTAAAATTAATCGTAGTTGTAAGCCATGAGCCATGAAGTACTGCCATCACATCTACTGTGGAAAAGTGTGCGTGATTCGAATAACCACTGCTGCTTCAAGAGTCTGAACACGTCGGGAGGCCCAGCACTATAAAAGTCATTTGACTGTTGACAGTTAAGTCAGGGTGAGCATCGATAAGTAAATTCATTTTCTTTAGAGCATATCTTAATAGCAGCCCGTTTAAGTGACAAAATATATGGGCATAATTTATGTCCGTCGAACCCACTCCGGAAAACGTATCGAAAAACGAATCCTGCCAAAACTTCCACTCATACGAAGAAGGAGACATAATAATGCTTTCGTGTTTTGATTTCTCCCTGAAAATTTCTCTAGAGTCATATTTTTAACAACTGCCATTTATTTGCGTGGTTTGAGAAATAGGAGGAGGAGCAGTGTCAGGGTCAATGAAAGCCCGGGCCCCGTCCAAATATTAATCATTCAAGCACACATCACCCATCTTGTCTAAGTACTCGTCCTT